ACAAACAAAAGAAAAAGACAAAGAAGCAGCCGAACTAGCAATCCTCAACAACTTTTCAATTTTTACACCAGGAGCTAAAGGTCTGTTTCAGGAACCCACATCCCCAGCAGTCGGCGGTTGTGGAATTAAGGTGTAAAAGGTTTTATACACCGCTAGTTGGCAGTGTTGTGCACATATTGTACATGAATTGTTCCCAGCTAGTAAGTGTCTAATTGAACTTGCACTTTAAAAGTTACCTTCTGCTAGTTTATCTATGACATAAGCGCTTTTGAGGTTGCGGACCTAAATATTTATATAAGCGCTTTAGAAATTGCAGAGCGAATTTTTGGATTAGCGCTGCCCACTACTGATGGTATGGTATGGTATGGTATGGTATGGTATGGTATGGTATGGTATGGTATGGTATGGTATGGTATGGTATGGTATGGTATGGTATGGTATGCAGTGGTGGGCACCAGCCCGCTAAAGCCCAAATCCGCTAATTGTGGAACTAAATATTTCATTTGTGCTTTAGCGGTCTTACTAATTTTTATAATCCATAAGTGGATTTGTGCTTTCTAAAATTAAAATGCAGTACCGCTAATAACTAAATATCTACCAGTCATCATTATCTTGAACAGCAGAAGGAATGGCTGACAATGAATCACAACGCAAATGATCTACCCAACAGCACCCCTCCCAGATAAACTCACTTATTGGAAAGGTGTACATCCTTGCTGACTGTTGCTTTGGGTCACAGTTCTCATTTCCCACAATGCTTTGTGTCTTCTTACATAGCAGGAAGGCAGTGTTTAGAAGTCCCTGTCCGAGCTAAAACTGTTAACTTTTGTAATCCATACTAAAATTTTGTATGTATTGGTTTATTTTACTTCACAGTCAGAGCTCCTTTAAAAAAAATTAAATGCTGGAGCTCAATACTTGACGTAATTGGTCGAAGCAACAGGGTTCAAGACGCAGAAATGATTAAAAAATGTTATGCTGATGAAGACTGACATCTAGTGGTCAACTGGAGCAACTACRTGGAAAACTTTAAAATCCAAGCTCTTATTTTGAAGGGAAGATGGTTTTCTGTTCTCCGTGCTTTCGTTTCCCATCAGAAATCAAATCCGTCATGTATCCAGAATGCATTGCTTCAGTTTTCCAATAAACACTTTTAAAATTACTTTATTGATGCTTCTTTAATGAAAAATCTACAACAAACAAAAGAAAAAGACAAAGAAGCAG